CCACTCCTACAAGGAGTGTAAGGCAACAGAGCCTAAATGCATTAATTGCATAAGGGCAAACAAGAAATTTGGCCTGCAGTTGGGTACCGGCCATTCTGCAATGAATGCCAACTGCCCGTGCTATGCGCGGGAACTTGAGAGAGTTCGGGCCAGGACGGACTACGGTCCGCCATAATCAGGGATAACGAACACGTTCAACTCTGTATCTCAACACACATCAGAGACGAACGAACGACGTGGCTGCAAATTCTTGCAGTTCAACGCCGAAAAGTGCCGTGCCGCAACTGCCCAATTGCGGGTAGAAGCGGTTGAGCGGGATATTGACATCATCCTGCTCCAAGAGCCATATCTCGTACACGGAAAGGTTAGTGGCCTATCACTTCAATGGAGCGTTTACGCCCAAGAAGGTGACGACTGCCGTGCCGCCGTCATCCTCACACGGAGGAACGTCGACGCATTTGCTTTCCACGTATCGCCTCTTGTGGTGGCCGTAGAATTACGGCTTCCTGGCGGCACCTTGGCTGTGGTCTCTAGTTATCGCCCGCCGTCACTTAAACTGGGGGTCCTTCTGACTGAACTCGAAAGGGTTGTCACGTCCCACGGGCGGGTAGTCTTGGCAGGCGACTTTAACGCCAAGCACTCGCTCTGGGGGTCTCCCGTTGACGATCTGGACGGGGACATTCTAAGAAAGGTATTAGAGGGCCGTCTGCTAAAGCTGCTGACTTATGCCCTATTGGAAATCGGAAAGAAGAAGTTAGGAAAGTAAAAAAGGAGGAAGAGGAAACCAAGTAAGATAGGATAGTTTGAAAAGAGTAACCAGGGGGCCCCCACGGGACCCCACGGGCGCCTGCATCGGGACTTTATTTTTAAACCAATTACAAAACATATATACAAGAAATACAAAATTAAATATGTACAGTTTAACTGGGTGCAGTGGAATAGGTCATTGCCCTGGCAATGACCCTTACAAAAATAATAGAAAAATATTAATTGTTCGAACAATATCAAACGCTGAAGAGTTTGTTTACATTACTATTTATAGTTCAAAAAGCAGAAGGTTTTACAATTAGTAAATCTCTGAGAGCTCTTCTTCCGTTATATCGTCTTCATCATCGTTTGTCTCATCACTTGTCTCATCATCACTATCACTGTTTACATTTATATCATCTTCTGAATCGCTTTGTTGAGAGTTTGTTAATTGTGACGTTGTTTTTTCCTGAATTTGTATTGTGTCCGGAAGTAGAGCTTTTGTCTTCTTCACAAAATGCTCAAAGGTTTCCCATAGATGTTTATTGTCGAATATCTCTTTAGGGTTCGGTGGCCATGACATTCCATACTGTACACATTCTCTATAAAGTGTGTACCTCTGCTCTTCATAAAGTTCGCACTCAAAAGCAAAATGCGTTGCATCAAACACCGTTTTGTCATCACACCTACAACTATCATGATTCGCTCTCTTAATTCTGAAGAGGTACGCCTGGAACTTACCATGGTTGGTTAAGCATTGTGAAGTGTTCAGGTCCGGCCTGTAGTGTTTATTTTTTAATCTATCAGTTATAGAAGGGATATACTGATAACATATCCTTCCAGTGATTGAGTTATCCCACTCCTTCTGCCAACATTGGATTCCCCAGTTCGATAATGTCCTCTTTAATTCTGATTGTGGGAGTCTGTTGTACGTAATTTTATTAGTAGAGTATCCCGCTCGTTTTGCCAAGTCGTCCGCAATTTCGTTTCCGGATATGTTTGTATGTGCCGGAATCCAGGAGAATTGTACTGCTGTCAGTTCGCTTAAGCTGTGGGCCTCATTGATGACTTCCCTTCCCAGTGTAGACGTTTTCCCTGTTTTGTTCAGTATCTGCAAAGCTGTTCTGCTGTCAACTAATATTCTTATCTTCCCTTTATAGTAGTTAATGTTATCTTTTACTTTTTTAATGGCATTGTATATCGCCCACAGCTCGGCTTGTGTAATGCTGCATGTTTTATCCATCTTCAGGCTTGCCTTATAAATTATTCTATTACTTGACTGCTTCATAATACAAAATCCTGCTCCAACACCTTCCTTATGCTTAGATCCATCGGTGAATATTAACCAATTAAAGTTTTTATTTGCTTCCGGATCGTATTCTAAGCAGATTTCATAATTATTCCTATTGCTGGGGTGAATATCAAATTCCGTTCTATTATCCACCTTATCAATTTCCGTTTTATCTATTATAATTGGCAATTCTTTGTAATTTTTTGGTAGGATTTTGTACTTGATGTCTTTATTAATTTGCTGTTGAGTTTTGTTCCAGTATTCGTTATTAATAATTATCCAGCCCCATGCATTCAGTTTCGCCGTTATATGGATCGGGGTGATGCCCCCCATAACGAGCATCGCATCCGTTGGGGCGGTGCGGTATGACTTCGTTAAACTAATCGCCGCTTTCCTTTGTATAGAGAGTAATTGTCTTTTTATGTGAGTGTTCTGGAGCGCTTCCTGCCATACCGGCACTGCGTACAGGACTGCGGGCTCTATTGCCATTTTGTAGATTAGTTTATTATTTCTAAAATTCAATCCCCAGTATTTTCCAGAAATCCAGTTAATTAGGTTTATCCTCTGTGTTGTTCTCTTGCAAATTTCTTTTATATGGCTGTGCCAGCTTAGATTCGGATCAAATATTATACCCAAGTACTTCATCGTTTTCACTTGTTTTATTCTATTCCCATTCATTCTTAATTTTAATGTTTTTTTAAGTTGTCCATGCTTATTATTTCTGGTACACACCAGAGCCTCGCACTTTGAAAAGTTTACTGGCAACTTTTGTTTTTCGCTCCATTGATATATGTCATCCAATATATTATTTGCTTTTTCTGTTAGCCTGTTGCAGTTACCATCTGCAATCATAATGAGCAAGTCATCTGCGAATGCTTGTACTTTTAGCCCCTCATTCTCAGGGTAATTAGTCAGCAGTGTGTCAAAAATCATGTTCCAAAGACTTGGACCGCTGCGGGATCCCTGCGGACACCCTCGGTTTATCTGTCTCCTGATATGTATACTATTAGTGTGAAACTCAATGAAACGGTCAGTAAGATAGCTCTCTAATATTTTTGCTTCTGCATCCAGATTTTTAAATTCTGTCATCCTATTCAAGATTTCTTTCCAGCGAATATGATCAAAAGCTTTTTTATAATCGATCGTTACCAACAGTGCATGTTTGTTTCCTTCCCATGCTGTGTGAACGAATTTTTTGACGCTTAAGATTGCATGTATAGTTGATTTATTAGTCCTGAACCCATACTGGTTCTTGTGCATATTCTGTGATTTATGTAATTCCCAATTTATTCTTTTGATAATCATTCCTTCCAGTGCTTTCCCCATCGTATTTAATAGGCTAATTGGTCTGAATTCATGCTTATTTTGTGGGTTTTCCGTCTTTGGAATCAGTTTAACATTGGCAATTTTCCACGATTTCGGAAAATATCCTTTATTCAAACATTCATTAAAAAGGTACACGAAGACCATCGGTATCTCCCTGTACGCGTTTTTTAGCATCTCGGGTGTTACACAGTCAAGTCCCGGTGCCTTTCCATTAGTCATTGAGGTGATTGCTGCTTCTACTTCTCGAAAAGTAAATAACCTTATATTTTCTTCCTTTCCGTTCCGCTGGTTTTCCATTTCCTTCTGAGTAAGATTTACATTGTTCTCTCCTTCATCCTCGTTGTAATCAGCTGGGAATTGATACTCTAATATTTTGTTAATGTTTTCTTCCATATTATAATTCTCTCCTTGTTGGTTTTCCTGGTCAATGTGGATTATATCTGGGATTTGTAATTTTTTTCTTTTTCTAAATATCAGTTGCTATGGTGTTTCCCATGGTCCTTTTTCATTACTTTCCGAGCAAAATCTCCTCCATGCTTCTGTTCTCGTTGCATTTATGTTTTTCTTGTAATTTCTAAGTAATTCCTTGTACTTTTCTTTAATTTGTTTCCTTATTCCTTCATCTTTGGCCCTATTGTATTTCTTCCTTATTTTATTTATTTTACTCCTTTGTTTCTGTAAAGTACTTGTCCACCAGTGGGTCTTTTTCTGTTTTATATTAATTCTCTTACTCGTCTGTGTCGAAGCGTTTCTCATATCATTCGTTACATATTCAATGTACTTATCTATATCTTCCTTCGAGTTTATGTACGGAAATTCATGATTCGACCAGTTCTTGTTGAAGATATCCCGGTACCATTCCCAATTCGTGTACTTACTAAATCCAGTTTGGTTGTCTTTTTCAATTTGCATGTGATCAATCTGTGTAAAGATAAATCTGTGGTCACTTCCTGTTGTGCTAAGTAATGTCTCACAATTTGTAATATCCTGTGCCAATTCTTCGGTGACCAAGCAGACATCTGTCCACCCAATCGCGCTTGGCGTGTAAAAAGTAGGGTGGTCTGTCATGTTTACTGAAATTAATTTAAATTCCTCCATTAATTCCATGATCATTCGACCCCTCTTATCTTCATGCCTATTGTACCATACTTCAGATTTGGCATTTATGTCACCAGCTAAGATTATGTATCTGCTATTTATTTTCCTTATCACCTTATCCACTTCATTTATTGCCCTTTTATCATTGAGATTTGGTGATAGATATACATTAATTAGGTAAATCTGTGGGTCATGTTTAATAGCAACAGTTGTAATAATATCTGTAGTAAGGCTTGGTATTAAAGCAATATCAATTTTATTAGGTGTTGCTATACAGGTTTTTGGAGTTCTGTCTTTACTATTATAAATAGTATACCAGTTGCCTAATCTCACCACCGACTTTTGTACCGTATAAGGCTCCTGTATGAGCACTATGTCAGCCTGTAATTCGTTTGCTTTATGCATGATGAGGGAACTAGATGCTTTACTCCTCTGTGCATTAATCTGTAAAATTTTAAAACATCTGTTTTTGTCAGTAACATTGTTTCTTGTCATTTCCGCTTATATCTTTAACTTCCAGAGTATTTTATTGCAGCTATTACATCTCGTAATTTGTTCTTTGTATGATTCGTTCCTTTATCTTTGTTAGCTGTGGGCAATGTCTGTGGAAAGCATTATGATTAGTAGCTTGTTTCCGTTCCGGTGGCAACTTCCTATTTGTCTGTATGCAATTTATACATGTTGGGATTTCATGCTTCATTTTACACTCCTTAAATCCATGTTCTTTGGTGCAGTGACTGCAGACTTGCTGCTTCTGGCAGTCCCTAGCCCAATGTCCGAAGCCACAGCACCTATAGCACCTTGTGACCGGGACAAAGTCGTCAACTCTGATTGTTGACCATGATAAGGAGATTGTTCTTTGTCCTATTAAAATTTTCCTAATTTGTGGGGTAACCGTGATTACAACGTGGCAACAGTTTTCTTTTCTCTGACCTCCTGTTATAATAGTGCTAATTTTGCAGTTTTCTTTTATAGTTTCTTTATTCATATCCCTCCAGATATCATTCTGTTCACTCATTATTTCAATTATTTCATCCTCTTGTATACTCTGGGGAACGTTCAGCAAAATCACACGTGGTTTCCTTCCAGTGGCTGTTTTACAGTTTATTTTATTCTTTATTTCTGCTATATTCTGTATAGCTTGTTTTAATCTGTTACCTTCTTGTTCATTTCCCACTCTAAAACATAATCCATTCCCTCTTATCTGTTTAATCTGTTTTATTTTCACTTTTATCTGATGTGGTTGTATGTTGTTCATTATCTCTTTTGAAACTTCTTTCATGTTTAGTTGGGTATCTCCGTCTTTTCCTGGGTAAATCAGCACTGCACTGTTATCCCCTTCTTCGCTTTTATCGTTAATTGTTTTTGTAGTTTGGCTCAATGTATATTTTAAGTTGCGCCTCGTAATTTCTGCATACGTTGGTTGTTTTAATTGAATGTGATTTACTTCTTCATTTTTCCTCGTTTCATCCCGTTGTTCTATTGGTTCAGTGTTTTTGTTAGTCTTTTTCTCCATTTCTTGTCTTATTTCCGTCAATTTTCCAAATATCTGGTGTACTGTTGCATATAATAACATTGCTCTTTCCTTGATCTCCTTCCTCTCTTCTGTTTTTAGATTTGATTTATATGGATTGGGCAACAATTCCAAAATTCTCATGAGTTGCGTCTTTGCCTCTCTCAGAATGCTATCCTCTATATTATCATTCATCGTATTATTATTTATATTTATCATATTATCCTCCATAATATCTCGCATGGATTTCTCTTGCAGGGTATCGTTAAAATCAGCCATTTCCTCCATTATTAACTACAATGAAACTAATATTATTTCTAGAAGACGTGTTTATTGTGTTAGAAGGCCCAGTGCCAAGCAATTCTGCACAACCAAAATAATTTTAGCAATGCAGAATGAAAAGAAAGCAATAAAATTAATTACAACTAATCTTAAAATTAATTATACAATTTAAAAAACAGAAGTAAAGTTGCTCAGCAAAACAATTCGAAAATTCCGTTAATTTCCGTTGTCGATTGGCCGTTATAATGTCCGTTGTGAAGCTTGAGGTCAATGACCGCTATGCTTGGTTCAGTGGTAAACTTCTATGAATTTTAAAATTGCGTTTTTTCAAAAAGTATGCAATATTTTCTAACGAAATTTCGAGGAGTGAACGGTCGAAGGGTCCTCTCTCTAATAACAGTCACAGATTTAACGATTACCAAAAACCTGGCCCGATGCGGGCCGATTGCTTCCCACACAAAATGTCTAATAAAATCCCCAAAATGGGTCCTAGAAACCTCAAAATTTGTAATAGTACTCACTGTTATACTGTACACCTACATCCGTCCTTAATTCCGGAAAATCGGGCCTGTCGTTCCGGAAAACCGGTCCCGAAAATCTCGATCTTAAAATTGCTGTATTTCCAAAACTAGCGGGCCAATCTTTAAAATTCCGACGATAATCGATCCACAGTGTTGTCCTCTTTCCAACGACACCACACACTTAGCACCAAAATCAAAACTTCCAGAGAAAACTTAAGTTAATCCAGAGCTCAAAGTGCACACAGCCTCTCCCGATCGCGACTACACGCCCTCTTCTCTGGACGGGGACACGATGAAGGAAGCGGGGGAGGGTTGAGGGCTGCACGTTCTGAACGATCCGTTCGGAATTGCTACCTACTCCTCTCCATCGGGTGAGAGCTGGATTGACCTCACCATCGTGAGTGGGGCTATGCTTAGGCTTACGCTTACTTCGCTGTGGGAGACTATCGACTCTGAAAGCTGTAGTGACCATCGCTTCATTGCCTACCAGGTAATGTGCGACCCGCCGGCCTGGCATAGTAGTTACTACAGACTTACTGTTGGAAACCGCAGTCGATTTGCTAAATGCCTCGCCATTAAAACGGCCGACATAGTCACACAAGTCTCTAAGGTTGAAAATGTCGGGGATCTGGAGGACGTTGTGGCCACACTCACCGAGGCGGTCAGAGAAGCAGGAGACTGCACGCTCGCGCAATGGCGGCCCAATAACCACCGGTCAGTTCCCTGGTGGAGCCAGGAACTGAGTGTCCTACGGAAGCGCGTGAGGGCGCTCCGGCGACGCTTTCAACGATGCAGGGATGATGACCTTCGGGCTACCAGGAAACTGGAGTTCCAGAGGGCCAATGCCGAGTACAAGTACAAGATAAACGATGCGAAAAAGACCTCATGGCTCAGTTTCTGTCAACGTATCAGTGACGAAAACCCGTTCAGCCTTCCTTATAAACTAGTTTCTGGTAAGCTAAAACGTAGTACGGTCTTGGGGCCCATCAAAAAGCCAGATGGAACCCTAACCTCCACATTGGAGGAGTCGATAGAGGTGTTGCTCCGCTCGCATTTTCCATGCGATGAGCAATCAGACGACACCGAAGAGCAACGGCAGCTTCGAAGTGACGCGGAGTTGCCCGCTCTTGAGGCTGAGATGCCCGTGCCGGTGACCGACCCTGAGGTGACCCACATCATCGGTAACCTACGGAAAGGGAAGGCACCTGGCGTTGATGGGATCACGGCCGAAATGGTACAAGTTCTGCATCAGGAACGTCCTAACCTGCTCCGTACTCTGTATCAGAAGTGTCTGCTCCTGGGTCACTTCCCAGTGCAGTGGAAGCGGGCGCGTCTTGTGTTCATTCACAAACAAAGGCGTCCGAAGAACGAACCTAGGTCTTACAGACCGATCAGCCTATTGCCAGTCCTGGGGAAGGTTCTTGACAGAATCCTCAGTGACAGAATACTCCACCACTTTAAGCGGAAAGGGCTACTACACCCACAGCAATATGGGTTCCGGCCGGACATGTCGACCTGCAGGGCACTACATCGGGCGGTCAATCTGGTTCGCCAGAACCGCCAGCAGGGCCTCCACACATCGCTCGTCTCGATGGATGTCGCGGGGGCGTTCGACAATGTCTGGTGGCCATCCATACTGGGTGAGTTGCGGAAAGCGAACCTGCCGACCACCCTTGTAACACTTTCCAGGAGTTTCCTGAGTGGACGCACGGTGGTTTACCAGACCCCTATCAAGAGTTATGAGAGGGTACTGGAACGAGGCTGTCCGCAGGGGTCCTGTATTGGACCCCTGCTCTGGAACGTTCTAGCAGACACGGCGCTGCGACTCATCCTCCCGGATGATGTCCAGCTGCAGGCTTATGCAGACGATCTGTTGCTAGTAGTTGCAGGCTTCAGCCGGAGCGACATGGAGAGTCGCGGCAACGAAGCAATAGAACAGCTCGTTCGCTGGGGGGAGCTGCACAAGCTCTCCTTCAGCCCTGAGAAATCAGAGGCCCTGACGGTGGCCCGAACCGGAGTCTTGGCGCGCCGGCCAATTTACCGAATTAGGGGAAACCCCATCCGAAGGGTGAACGAGTTAAAGTACCTCGGTGTACTCATCGACCAGACGCTATGTTGGATGCCTCACCTGAGGAGCGTTCGAGACAGAACGAACCTCGCGATAGCAGCACTATCGAGATTGGCCAGGGAGAACTACGGGCTTAGTGGGGAGGCGCTTCGCACCATCTATAAGATGAGTGTTGAGCGCACTGTCTGCTACGCCTGCGGTATCTGGTGGAAGGACTCTGCCAACGTCAAGCAGAGCAGAACACTTCTCACGATACAGCGACCCGCAGCCCTACGAATCACAAGGGCCTACAGAACTGTGTCAACGGAGGCGGCCCTGGTCCTGGCCGGGCTCCTCCCGCTTCCTTTGGTAGTCAGCCAAGAAGCAGCCTTTTACCGGACAACGGTGGAAAACATTGAGACTAAGCATTGTAATCAGATGTACCCAATCAGACTGAGATGTCAGACAGATGTTTTAAGAGTCCATCCGGCCTACAGGATTGGACTAGATTGGGAGGCCGGTGAACCGGCTAACGTCGGTATTGAAATATATACCGACAGCTCTAAAGACGGTGGCTTGGTAGGCGCGGCGTTCTGCGTCTTCTATGACGGAGTCCACACGTACAGTCAGTCAGACAGACTGAATGAGGAGGCGTCTGTGTTCCAGGCTGAACTGGTGGCTCTGGCGAGAGCGTCCCAGTGGATCCTATTACATCCGGGTCCAGAGCCGGTCACAGTTTACTCCGACAGCCAATCGTCGCTTCAAGCTTTGAGCGACAGGTACCATCGCGACCCGTTGGTACATGAGGTCAGAAGTAAGGTGCTGCGGACAAGGCACGAACGACACGTTGTCCTGCGGTGGGTCTGAGGCCACATCAGGATCCCGGGCAACGAACGTGCTGATCAACTGGCNTGGTACACGAGATCAGAGGTAGGGTACTGAGGGCGAGGCACTTGCGACAAGTTGACCTGAGATGGGTACGCGGTCACATCGGTATCCGGGGCAACGAATGTGCCGATCACTTGGCCAAGGAGGCGGCCAAGGGCCCATTTGTAACGGAGAAGGTAGAACCTCCGGCTAGTTACTTAAAAGGTACTCTACTGCATCGATCGATGACACACTGGCAAGAGCGCTGGAACCTCAGTACAGTAGGTAGGTCAACCTACGCCTTCGTGCCTGAAGTTGGCCTAACTCCGATCAGTTGTAATTGGAGACTGACCCAAATCCTTACGGGACATGGGAAGTTTCCCCGTTACATGGCCAGATTTGGTCGAAGTAACGGTTGCTGCTCTTGTGGGTGCCCGCGCGGCGACGTGAGGCACTACATACTTGAGTGCCCCCTGACGGAGAGCGTCCGAAGGGGGGCCAGTCATATCGACTGGACCCAGCCCGATGACCAAGTATTTAGATCACTTGCAGCAAGTAAAGGAGACTTCGAAACCTTAAAGAGTATAATGGATATTATACTAGGTCAACATGACCTTTAGTCCAGTTTACTGGACAAGGCCTCTCCTCATAGGGAGGGGAAGCCCCACTGCTTGTTCCTTAAGTACCTTTCAATTCCAGAGTTCCCATGTGCTGTTACTTAGTACCAAAACGTATGTCTGTATGAGGGCTTTGTCCGAGCAGCGATGAAGGCGAGGAAGGCAATGAAGATCGGGAGTCCTAGGACTGCTCTGATTTGAGCCAGAGCCAGAGCCCAAGCATTTTCTCGGGCTAGCTATTTCGTCTAAGCGCCCGGTGCCCACCGGACGATGGACCGGCCGATGATTAAGACATCGTCTCCTAGTTACTCTGTAGTGCCATTTGGCGGAGCAGAGGTTATGACTTAGAGTTGGTTAGATGAGGCATAGGTCCTGCCCCNGACGATGGACCGGCCGATGATTAAGACATCGTCTCCTAGTTACTCTGTAGTGCCATTTGGCGGAGCAGAGGTTATGACTTAGAGTTGGTTAGATGAGGCATAGGTCCTGCCCCCCCGAGTAGGGAACCCAGCCTGGCCGTGGCGGGGGGGCCCGGCGGTGAGAGACGACGGGTAATGGGTCCCGAAAGACTCGTCTTGGTCTCGATCATTGATGGAGTCTTACGACTCGAGCCGAAGGTTCCAGAGACGCTATTACATCGTAGGCTTTGGGTCTGTGTACCAAGCCTTTAAAATGCTTGCTGTCCGTTCGCCGCTCCACGGAGGGGGCGACTCTGGCGGGGTTTTCATGTCTCTCTATTCTGGAACCTATCCCCGCTGGTGCGGACGGCTACTAGAGCTGCTTATTGGCATTGTGGCATGCAGACTCACATCATGATAGAAGGGAGACTAATACGATCGAGGCACGGGACTGTCCCTAATAGTATCGGCAATAAGAGGGCCAAAATGAGCCCTCAGTAAGTCCGAAGTCAGAGCTGGCTCTTAAACGCATACTTTGATTCCCGAACGGATTCAGGGCACCCGTGAAAAGTCGGGATCACCCCAATCCCCAATTTTTCTCTTTTANGAATCTGAGACACACAAAGCGAACTTCCGCACTCACCCCAGTGGCGAGGGGCCGGTGTTTTGAACGCAAAGGCGGTCGAATGCAGTCGATACGCCTCCGCCCGTGATAGCGCAGATCACGTAAAGCTCCTTCTGTCTGGTGAAAGAAGAACCAGCGTCCCAGGAGGAAGACTGGGCCTTGCACACCCAGTGCTGGCCTGGGGGCCATGACCTGCATGTCGAAGCCAGTGGGGCGAGGAGTCGCACTCCCGTTGCCGAAGCTTCGCTGGTGGCCAGGGGGGTAGCACCTACAGTGGCTTGTAGGACCCCGCTAGCTGGTATCTATCCTGACGGGCAGTCGGCAGAGCCGCTCCTCGGCATAGGGCCAACTTCCTTATGCTTTGGGTGGGGGAGCGGTGCTTAAAGGTCTGACCGTGCGTTGGATGGCCGTACATGGTCCCGGAGGACTGGAAATGAGAAGAGCGTCTCCTAGTAGGGATGATGGGGCGGCCCAAGCCGAGCAACCAGCCGGGCTGGGGTGACCTTGGGTAGGAGGCCATTTAAATGGGTAGCTGTCCCGGCAGCGGGCTAAGCAGTGACGACCCGGCAATAAGAGGGCCAAAATGAGCCCTCAGTAAGTCCGAAGTCAGAGCTGGCTCTTAAACGCATACTTTGATTCCCGAACGGATTCAGGGCACCCGTGAAAGGTCAGGATCACCCCAAACCTCGCTTTTATCTTTCCTTAACATTATGATGACAAAGAATATGGTATGTGCTAAGCGTGCTATGTTGGCAGATTCGTCGTGTGCAAGCGACGAGGAAATACTAATTCCCGACAGTCAGCCGGATGTTATCGCTGTTGTTGAGGGTGAAGATGCAGCCGGCCAGAAGGACGCTTGCGTTTCTGAAGAAGGCCAGGGAGGGGAGAAGGCGGCGCCCAAGGCGAAAGCCAAAAAGGCCGCCAAAACTGGTAAAAGAAAACAGGCTGCGCATAGTGGCCACCCAGAACGGACGGCCGAGGATTGCTCGTCCGCCGATTCTGGTGATGAAACAGTGTTCGACACGGCCTCAGGAACCGACGGAGAAGAGTGGAAAGGCGTTTCCACATCCAGAAGTCGGAGGGCTCGGCGTCGAGCACAAAATACAAAAACTAACCCCTCCACTGAAGGGAAGGTAGCCAAGAAGGCGCCAATGAACGCTAAGAGGGGGAAAGCATCCTCTTCGAAGCAAAGCGGGGGAACTCCCACCCTACTCAGCAAACGGAAAGTATTGCTGCCAAAGAGCAACCCCCCGATCTTCTCACTGAAGAGAACAGAAGGGTGGAATTGGACCGCGTCCATGAGGAGTTGACGAAACTCCTCGGACGAACGGACAACCGCTGTCAGAAGACAGTGTGTGCCAAAATATTCCACATCTTCAGTAAGGCTACTGCTGTTCTTAACGCCCAGGAGGTCGAGATAGCCTCCCTCCGGGCGGATGTTAAGACACTGAGGGAGGCTCAAATAGCGAACAAGCCGCTAGAACCTCATGCGACCAGTAGCAACACGAAGGCTGCCGCGAGTAACAAGACTTACGCGGCAGCCGTAAAGACGGTACCCACCCAACAGGGACCACCGAAACTAAACAAACTAAACCCAATGGACAGTGACATCAAGAAAACTGAGCACACGCTTCTCGTTTTCCCAAAAGATGGCACTAGGAGCAGCGACGATGTAAAAACGCTGCTCCAAAAGCACATCGATCCCATAAAATTGGGTATCGGCGTAAAGAATGTCCGTAGAATTCGGAATAATGGAGTTCTTGTAGAGGTGAGAAGGCCACAAGAGCTCCGTAAGTTACAGATGGAGTTGACGGAAGGTCCAGCCGCGTTGAAGGAGGCGGTCACACACAGACTACCCCAAAAACGCAGACCGACCGTCATCATATTCGACGTCTCGCCGGACGTCCCCCGCGAAAGTCTTGCAGATACCCTCGCCAAACAAAATGGCATACGGTTGCAGCCTGGGGCACTGCAGCCGCGTTTCCCTTTAAAGGGAAAGGGGGGACTTGTTAACTGGGTTTTCGAGACCTCCCCTGAGGTGTACCGCACTCTCCTGCAGAAGGAGAGAGTCCATTTGGGCTGGACTCGCAACCGGGTAAGGGAACATATAGCTTGTACCCGGTGCTACCACTGCTATGCTTTCGGGCATGTAGCTAAGAGCTGCCCATCGGCAGCTCAAATATGTAGCAAATGTGCCGGCGATCACTCGTATAAGGAGTGTAAGGCATCCAGGCCAAAGTGCATTAATTGTACTAAGGCCGCACGTAAGTTCGGCCTTCAGCTGGACCCCACACACTCATCAATGAGTGCCAACTGCCCGTGTTACCTGCGGGAACTCGAGCGAGTTAAGGCCCGGACAGACTACGGTCAGTAAGGTACGACATAGCTTTCGATCTGATTACACACTTGGATACAGTACAAAACTGCAGAGTCCTGCAGTTTAACGCTGAAAAGTGCCGCGCTGCTATCGCCCAACTACGGGTGGAAGTAGCGGAGCGGGAGGTGGACATCATCCTGCTCCAAGAACCATATCTTGTACAAGGAAAGGTTAGTGGCTTATCACTACAATGGAGCGTCTTTGCCGAAGAAGGCGACGAGTGCAGAACTGCTATCGTCGTGACACAACGAGAGATCGAAGCGTACGCTATCTGTGCATCGCGACTCATGGTAGCCGTTGAAATACGGTTACCCACCCATAACTGGGTCGCGGTCTCATGCTACTCTCCACCATCTTGCCCTATAGATGGCCTTCTTGAGGACCTCGAAAGGGTCGTCCTGCCCCACGACCGCGTTGTCTTGGCTGGTGACTTTAACACCAAGCACCAGTTGTGGGGCTCCCCTACGGATGATCTGCCCGGGAGAATCTTGAAGGAGGTGGTAGAGGGATGGGGGATGCACGTCCTCAACAACCCGTTGGGGATAGCGACCTATTCCTCACCAACCGGAGAGAGCTGGATAGACCTCACCATCTGCACGGGTGCTATGCTGAGATCCGTTGACCAGTGGGAAACGGTGGAGGCGGAAAGTTGTAGCGACCATCGCTTTGTCACTTACCAGGTGACGGGCGGCCGGTTGCTATAAGCTGACCATCCAAAACCGCGACCGCTTTAGCAAATGCCTCGAAGAAAAGACAGCAGTACTCGTATCGCAAGTCGCTAAAGTTGAGTGTGTCGAGGATCTGGAAGTGGCCGTGGTAGTAAGAGCAGTTGCGGATCGCACCCTCCTGCGGAGAAGGCCCACCACACACCGGTCAGTTCCCTTGTGGACCCAGGAACTGAGTGTCCTATGGAAGCGCACGAGGGCGCTCCGCCGACGCTTTCAACGATGCAGTGACCAAGACCTCCGGCAGACCAGGAAACTGGAGTTCCAGAGAGCCAATGCCGAGTACAAGTACAAGATGAATAGTGCAAAACAAGCCTCGTGGCTCAAGTTCTGTGAGGAGTTTAGTGCAGAGAATCCTTTCCACTTGCCCTACAAGCTGGTGGTGGGGAAGGCCAAGAGGAGTACAGTCTTGGGACCTGTCAGGAAACCAGATGGGACCACAACCTCCAGTCAGGAGGAGACTGTGGTTACGCTGCTCCGCTCTCTCTTCCCAGGAGATGAGCAGCATGATGATACTGAGGAACAGAGGAGGCTTCGCCGGGAAGCGGAGCTACCCATTCCTGAGGCCGAGATGCCCGTGCCGGTGTCCGACTCTGAGGTTGCCCACACTATCAGCAACCTAAGGAAGAGGAAGGCACCTGGCGTTGATGGGATCACGGCCGAAATGGTACAGGTTCTTTATCAGGTTCAACCGGACCTGCTCCGTGTCGTTTATCAGAAGTGTCTGCTCCTGGGCCACTTCCCAGTAGAGTGGAAACGGGCGCGACTTGTGTTAATACATAAGAACGGGCGCCCGAAGGACGAACCAAAGTCATATAGACCTATTAGCCTATTGCCAGTCCTGGGGAAAGTATTAGACAGAATCCTCTCAGACCGGATCTTTTACCACCTCAAACGCAAAGGGCATCTACACCCACAACAATATGGATTCCGCCCGGACACGTCGACCTGCAGAGCATTACATCGTGCGGTCAATCTGATTCGTCAGAACCGCCAGCAGGGCCTCCACACATCACTCGTTTCAATGGATGTCGTGGGGGCATTCGACAATGTCTGGTGGCCCTCCATCGTGGATGAGTTGCGGAGAGCGAACCTGCCCTCCACCCTTTTCCGTACTCTAAAGAGTTTCCTTCGCGAACGCGAAGTGATCTACATCACTCTAACGACCAGGTATGTTAGGAAGCTGGAGAGGGGATGCCCCCAGGGGTCATGCATAGGACAACTCCTTTGGAACGTCCTTGCCGACACGGCGCTGAGACTCGCCATGCCAGACGATGTCCAGCTGCAGGCCTATGCGGATGATCTGTTAATAGTAGTTGCCGGCACCAATCGGCGCGAGATGGAGCGCCAAGGCAACGAAGCCATAGAACGGCTCACTTGCTGGGGACAGTCCCACAAACTGACCTTCAGCCCCGAGAAATCGGAGGCCCTGACGGTGGCCCGTACCGGTATTCTGGCACGTCAGCCAATCTACCGAATAAAGGGCAACCCCATCAGAAGGGTAAGTGAACTTAAGTACCTAGGTGTCATTATTGACCAATCCCTTTGTTGAACGCCACACCTCAGGTTTGTCCGAGACAAGATGAACCGAGCGATAGCGGGACTATCGCGACTGGCCAGGCAAGAGTACGGCATAGGCGGTGAGGCAATCCGGACTATCTACAAGATGGCTCTGGAGCGCATGATCTGCTATGCTTGCGGTATCTGGTGGAAGGAGTCTGCCAACGTGAAGCAAAGTAGGACCCTACTTACAATTCAAAGGCCTGCCGCCCTACGGGTCACACGTGCCTACAGAACGGTATCCACTGACGCGGCCCTAGCCCTGGCAGGGCTTCTTCCGCTGCCCCTGGTAGTCAGCCAGGAGGCGGCGTTCTTTAGGATCGCGGTGGAGGGTATACAGGCAAAGCACTGCAACCAGATGTACCCAGCGATGAAACTCTTATGTCAGGCAGACATATGGAGTACCCATCCAAGCCTAAGGGTGGGCATCGACTGGGAGGTCGGTGAACCTACTCTATGTGGTATCGAAATATATACCGATGGCTCCAAAGACGGCAGCCAAGTGGGCGCAGCCTACTGCGTTTACCATGATGGGGTTTTAGTGTACAGTTCGTCAGTCAGACTGAACGAGGAAGCGACCGTGTTTCAAGCCGAACTGGTGGCTCTTTCAGGAGCGTCCCAGTGAATCCTACACCATCCGGGTCCCGTTGCAGTCACGGTGTACTCTGACAGCCAGTCGTCACTTCAGGCGTTACGTGACGGATACCACAGAGACCTATTGGTACACAAGATCAGAGGTAGGGTACTGAGGGCGAGGCACATGCGACAAGTTGACCTGAGATGGGTACGCGGTCACATCGGTATCCGGGGCAACGAATGTGCCGATCACTTGGCCAAGGAGGCGGCCAAGGGCCCATTTGTAACGGAGAAGGTAGAACCTCCGGCTAGTTACTTAAAAGGTACTCTACTGCATCGATCGATGACACACTGGCAAGAGCGCTGGAACCTCAGTACAGTAGGTAGGTCAACCTACGCCTTCGTGCCTGAAGTTGGCCTAACTCCGATCAGTTGTAATTGGAGACTGACCCAAATCCTTACGGGACATGGGAAGTTTCCCCGTTACATGGCCAGATTTGGTCGAAGTAACGGTTGCTGCTCTTGTGGGTGCCCGCGCGGCGACGTGAGGCACTACATACTTGAGTGCCCCCTGACGGAGAGCGTCCGAAGGGGGGCCAGTCATATCGACTGGACCCAGCCCGATGACCAAGTATTTAGATCACTTGCAGCAAGTAAAGGAGACTTCGAAACCTTAAAGAGTATAATGGATATTATACTAGGTCAACATGACCTTTAGTCCAGTTTACTGGACAAGGCCTCTCCTCATAGGGAGGGGAAGCCCCACTGCTTGTTCCTTAAGTACCTTTCAATTCCAGAGTTCCCATGTGCTGTTACTTAGTACCAAAACGTATGTCTGTATGAGGGCTTTGTCCGAGCAGCGATGAAGGCGAGGAAGGCAATGAAGATCGGGAGTCCTAGGACTGCTCTGATTTGAGCCAGAGCCAGAGCCCAAGCATTTTCTCGGGCTAGCTATTTCGTCTAAGCGCCCGGTGCCCACCGGACGATGGACCGGCCGATGATTAAGACATCGTCTCCTAGTTACTCTGTAGTGCCATTTGGCGGAGCAGAGGTTATGACTTAGAGTTGGTTAGATGAGGCATAGGTCCTGCCCCCCCGAGTAGGGAACCCAGCCTGGCCGTGGCGGGGGGGCCCGGCGGTGAGAGACGACGGGTAATGGGTCCCGAAAGACTCGTCTTGGTCTCGATCATTGATGGAGTCTTACGACTCGAGCCGAAGGTTCCAGAGACGCTATTACATCGTAGGCTTTGGGTCTGTGTACCAAGCCTTTAAAATGCTTGCTGTCCGTTCGCCGCTCCACGGAGGGGGCGACTCTGGCGGGGTTTTCATGTCTCTCTATTCTGGAACCTATCCCCGCTGGTGCGGACGGCTACTAGAGCTGCTTATTGGCATTGTGGCATGCAGACTCACATCATGATAGAAGGGAGACTAATACGATCGAGGCACGGGACTGTCCCTAATAGTATCGGCAATAAGAGGGCCAAAATGAGCCCTCAGTAAGTCCGAAGTCAGAGCTGGCTCTTAAACGCATACTTTGATTCCCGAACGGATTCAGGGCACCCGTGAAAAGTCGGGATCACCCCAATCCCCAATTTTTCTCTTTTACTTTAATGATGACAATGGATACAGTATGTGCTAAACGTGTGTCGTTGGCTAACTCGTCGTGTGCAAGCGATGAGGAAGTACTAATCCCCGACAGTCAGCCGGACATCAATGCTATCGAAAAAGAGGGAGTAGAGGTCACCCGGAAGGACGCTCGCGTTTCCGGAAATGGCCAGGGAGAGGAGAAGGCGGCGCCTAAGCCGAAAGGCAAAAAGGCCGCCAAGACTAGCAAATGTAACGAGGCTGCGTCAAGCGACCACCCAGAGCGGAAGACTGAGCGCGACTCGTCTGTAGACTCTGGAGAAGAGACGGTGTTCGACACCGCCTCTGATACCGACCAAGGCGAGTGGAAGAAGCCTTCCACCTCCAGAGGTCGAAGGGCCCGACGACGAGCTCAAAGGGCCAACGCTTCCAGTAAAGGGAAGGCTGCCAAGAAGGCACCAACCACTATTGCAAAGGAGGGGATGACAACCTCTTCCAAGCAAAGCGGGGTAGATCCCACCCTGCGTAATCAAACGCCCGAAACGGCTGTAGAGGCCCCCGCACCTCCCCCACAGGAGAGCAGGAGGGCTGAGCTGGACCGCGTCCACGAGGAGCTGACCAAGCTCCTCGGACGAACGGATAACTGCTGTCAGAAGACAGTGTGTGCCAGCATTTTTCACATCTTCAGCAAGGCTGTGGCTGTATTAAATGCCCAGGAGGTCGAGATCGCCTCCCTCCGGGCAGAGATTAGGACGCTGAGGGAGGCTCACACTGGTAGCAAGCCGCTGGAACCTCAAGCCGTACCTACTAGCAACATGAAAGCTGCTGCGGGTAATAAGACTTACGCAGCAGCAGTACGTGCGGTACGTGTGGTGCCTAACCAAGAAGGCCCACCTACCAAAAAGCCGATGGCTAGTGCTGTGCAAAAGACCGAGCATTCTCTCTTGGTTTTCCCGAAAGACAACACTAAGAGCAGCGATGAAGTTAAAGCATTGCTCCAAAAGCATATCGACCCCTTTAAACTGGGTATCGGGGTTCGTAACGTCCGTAGAATACGGAACAACGGGGTTCTTGTAGAGGTACGAAAGCCACAAGAACTCCGAAAGCTCAAGCTAGAGTTGACTGATGGACCAGCTGTGCTGAAGGAGGCAGTCACCTGCAGGCTGCCCCAAAAGCGCAAGCCAACGGTCATCATTTTCGACGTCTCGCCGGACGTCACCCGCGAAGGTCTCGCGGAAACCCTCGCCAGGCAAAATGGCATACGGCTGCAGCCAGGGGCACTGCAGCCGAGGTTCCCTCTCAAAGGGAAAGGGGGCTCGTGAACTGGGTTCTCGAGGCCTCCCCAGAGGTGTTCCGCACTCTCCTGCAGAAGGAGAGAGTCCACTTGGGCTGGACCCGCAACCGGGTTAGGGAATATATGGCTTGTACCCGGTGCTACCGCTGCTATGCCTTCGGGCATGTGGCTAAGAGTTGCCCTTCTGCAACTCAGAAGTGTAGCAAATGTGCCGAGGATCATTCTTACAAGGAATGTAAGGCACCTAGGTCGAAGTGCATAAATTGCACTAAGGCCGCCCGTAAGTTCGGCCTTCAGCTTGATCCCACACACTCTTCAATGAGTGCGAGCTGCCCGTGTTACCTGCGGGAACTCGAGCGAGTTAAGGCCCAGACAGATTATGGTCAGTAAAGGTGCAACATAGCTTTCGATCCAATTACACACTTGGATACAGTGCAAAACTGCAGAGTCCTGCAGTTTAACGCTGAAAAGTGCCGCGCTGCTATCGCCCAACTACGGGTGGAAGTAGCGGAACGGGAGGTGGACATCATCCTGCTCCAGGAACCATATCTTGTACATGGAAAGGTTAGTGGCTTATCACTACAATGGAGCGTCTTTGCCGAAGAAGGCGACGAGTGCAGAACTGCTATCGTCGTGACACGACGAGAGATCGAAGCGTACGCTATCTGTGCATCGCGACTCATGGTAGCCGTTGAAATACGGTTACCCACCCATAACTGGGTCGCGGTCTCATGCTACTCTCCACCATCTTGCCCTATAGATGGCCTTCTTGAGGACCTCGAAAGGGTCGTCCTGCCCCACGACCGCGTTGTCTTGGCTGGTGACTTTAACACCAAGCACCAGTTGTGGGGCTCCCCTACGGATGATCTGCCCGGGAGAATCTTGAAGGAGGTGGTAGAGGGATGGGGGATGCACGTCCTCAACAACCCGTTGGGGATAGCGACCTATTCCTCACCAACCGGAGAGAGCTGGATAGACCTCACCATCTGCACGGGTGCTATGCTGAGATCCGTTGACCAGTGGGAAACGGTGGAGGCGGAAAGTTGTAGCGACCATCGCTTTGTCACTTACCAGGTGACGGGCGGCCGGCNCGTCTTTGCCGAAGAAGGCGACGAGTGCAGAACTGCTATCGTCGTGACACGACGAGAGATCGAAGCGTACGCTATCTGTGCATCGCGACTCATGGTAGCCGTTGAAATACGGTTACCCACCCATAACTGGGTCGCGGTCTCATGCTACTCTCCACCATCTTGCCCTATAGATGGCCTTCTTGAGGACCTCGAAAGGGTCGTCCTGCCCCACGACCGCGTTGTCTTGGCTGGTGACTTTAACACCAAGCACCAGTTGTGGGGCTCCCCTACGGATGATCTGCCCGGGAGAATCTTGAAGGAGGTGGTAGAGGGATGGGGGATGCACGTCCTCAACAACCCGTTGGGGATAGCGACCTATTCCTCACCAACCGGAGAGAGCTGGATAGACCTCACCATCTGCACGGGTGCTATGCTGAGATCCGTTGACCAGTGGGAAACGGTGGAGGCGGAAAGTTGTAGCGACCATCGCTTTGTCACTTACCAGGTTACGGGCGGCCGGCCTACCCAGCCGGACGGTTGCTATAAGCTGACCTTCCAAAACCGCGACCGCTTCAGCAAATGCCTCGAAGAAAAGACAGCAGTACTCATATCGCAAGTCACTAAGGTTGAGAGCGTCGAGGACCTGGAAGTGGCTGTGGCAGACATCACCAACGCAGTAAGAGCAGTTGCGGACCGCACGCTCCTGCGGAGGAGGCCCACCACACACCGGTCAGTTTTTTGGTGGACCCAGGAACTGAGTGTCCTACGAAAGCGTACGAGGGCGCTCCGCCGACGCTTCCAACGATGCAGTGACCAGGACCTTCGGCAGACCAGGAAACTGGAGTTCCAGAGAGCCAATGCCGAGTATAAGTACAAGATGAATAGTGCGAAACAAGCTTCGTGGCTCAAGTTCTGTGAGGAGTTTAGCGCAGAGAATCCTTTCCACTTGCCCTATAAGCTAGTGGTGGGGAAGGCCAAGAGGAGTACACTCTTGGGACCCGTCAAGAAACCAGATGGGACCAAAACCTCCAGTCAGGAGGAAACTGTGGTCACGCTGCTCCGCTCTCTCTTCCCAAGAGATGAGCAGCAAGATGACACTGA